GTGGCTAAGGTGACTAGTAGCACTAGGGACGTGTAGTGTGACTAGTTATACCACTAGTGACTAGTCTCCTGCGACCGTCCGCAGGTCGCCCGGGCAGTGACGCTCTACCACCGCGCCGGACTAGTGGCTAAGGTGACTAGTAGCACTAGGGACGTGTAGTGTGACTAGTTATACCACTAGTGACTAGTCTCCTGCGACCGTCCGCAGGTCTGTCTCTTATACACATCTAGATGTGTATAAGAGACAGCGTGTATGCTGGACGTGATTTATAAAGTAAGAAAGACTCAGTTAGAAGTTATATACTAAGTTAGCGAGACCTGTCCGTTAGAAGTTATATACAAAGTAAGTATGACTAGTCAGCTAGAAGTGATGTACCTATAAAATGATTTTGACGTGTCAGTTGAAGTATTATATAAATTAGGTATGACTTGTCTGTTAGAAGTTATATACAAAGTAAGTATGACTATTCAGCTAGAAGTGATATATAAAACGAGTTTGACATGTCAGGTAGAAGTTATATATAAAGTATAACGTATCGTTGGCTGACATATGTTGTATATTCATGATCCCTGTATAGTGATGTATAAAATGAGTTTGACGTGTCAGGTAGAAGTTATATATAAAGTATGACGTATCGGTGGCTGACATATGTTGTATATTCATGCACAGGGCGGCATGCTACCACCTCGCGCGTCAGTACGAGAACGTCAACCAAGTGAAGGAAGCAATTCATTTCTTCACGCGCGCTCATGCGTACGGCAACGCCATACGCATATGTCGGGAGAACGCGTACGACGGTGAGTGGTGGGAGGTGTTGCGGGTGTGACGCTTGGTGTTGGTGTGACACTTGGTGTTGCGGGTGTGACACTAGGTGTTGCGGGTGTGACACTTGGTGTTGCTGGTGTGACACTTGGTGTTGCGGGTGTGACACTTGGTGTTGCTGGTGTGTCACTTGGTGTTGCTGGTGTGTCACTTGGTGTTGCGGGTGTTGCTCTGCCTGCTTACATAAATTTATTTCCCTTCTTTCTTTAGTAGGTGTTGAATTGTGTATAATTTTAATGGTCATTGCTTAAAATTGAATATTATGATCAATTGTTCACTCATGCTAGGATAGGATTACTTTTCCGTACATGCTAAATTAGAAATACTTGTTGTTGTTGTTCGCACAACAACAACAAAAACAACTTATCCACACATGCTATGTTAGGATTACTCCTCCGCACATGTTAGGATAGGATTACTTCTCCGCACATGCTATGTTAGGATTACTCCTCCGCACATGTTAGGACAACAACAACAAAAACAACTTATCCACACATGCTATGTTAGGATTACTCCGCACATGTTAGGATAGGATTACTTCTCCGCACATGCTATGTTAGGATTACTTCTACGCACATGCTATGTAAGGATTACTTCTCCGCACATGCTATGTTAGGATTACTCCCTCTCCCCCTTTCCCTCTTCTAAGACTGCTAAAACATCATCAAAATCCAACGACTTTAAGAAAAAGTAACAATATTTACAAGTTTTTAGCGTCTCTCGAAACTCACGCTTATTTCCTCCCTCTATGAACTTCATCAAAATATAATGACTTTAAGAATAATCTACAATATCTACGCCGCGATATGAACTCTCCAAAATATCATCAAAATCGAATGATTTCTACCATAATCAACAATATCTACACCGATACGGACACTAAAATACCCACAAAATACCACTAATTCAACAATAAGGTATGGAATTTCAGCAGTAAGAGCAACAATAATATTTTTTAGCATAAATCAACAGCAGCAACAAGCAACAAAAAATTTTTTTACCATAAATCAACAGCAGCAACAAGCAACAAAAACACTTTTTACCATAAATCAACAGTATCAGCAAGCATCAATAGAATTCTTTCGCATTAATCAGGAAAATCAACAAGCATCAATAATTTTTTTTATCATAAATCAACAATATCAACGAGTATCAATAATTTTTTTCATAAATCAACAAGATCACTGATTATCAATAATTTTTTATCATAAATCAGCAATATCAACAAGTATCAATGAATTTATTTAGCATAAATCAACAAAATCAACAAACCCCCCCCCCCAGACCAGCTGATGAACCTGGCGCTGGTGGCGGGCCCGCAGGAGCAGCTCGAGGCCGCGCGCTACTTCGTCTCCTGCGACCGCCCGCAGGTCGCCCGGGCCGTCACGCTCTACCACCGCGCCGGACTAGTGGCTAAGGTGACTAGTAGCACTAGGGACGTGTAGTGTGACTAGTTATACCACTAGTGACTAGTCTCCTGCGACCGTCCCCAGGTCGCCCGGGCCGTGACGCTCTACCACCGCGCCGGACTAGTGGCTAAGGTGACTAGTGGCACTAGGGACGTGTAGTGTAGGTGACCAGTGGCACCACTAGTGACTAGTCTCCTGCGACCGTCCGCAGGTCGCCCGGGCCGTGACGCTCTACCACCGCGCCGGACTAGTGGCTAAGGTGACTAGTGGCACTAGGGACGTGTAGTGTAGGTGATTAGTAGCACTAGGGACGTGTAGTGTGACTAGTTATATCACTGGTGACTAGTCTCCTGCGACCGTCCGCAGGTCGCCCGGGCCGTGACGCTCTAGCACCGCGCCGGACTAGTGGCTAAGGTGACTAGTGGCACTAGGGACGTGTAGTGTGACTAGTTATACCACTAGTGACTAGTCTCCAGCGACCGCCCGCAGGTCGCCCGGGCAGTGACGCTCTACCACCGCTGTCTCTTATACACATCTAGATGTGTATAAGAGACAGTGAGTGTANAAACTGTGAAGAACTGCCGCCGAAATCATGTTCGGCGACTTTTAGAATTTCGGCAGTCGATCCTGGCGTCTGAATTAGAGATCTACTGTAAAATTCAAAGGGAAAAATGCACACCAAATCTGAAAAAAATGAATGATGAACGATTGAAAAAGTCACCTCAAAAACTACAAGCCGTTCATGCTGTCAATCGCACCTTTATTGTTGGCCACAACTCAGTGATACTCGAATCTTGATCGTACTTCTTATTTATGAACTACTTCTACTTCATATGTACTTCTTATTTATGAATTACTTTACATTTGACCTGCATGATTAACAAATGTGTACAGTACATCAGTACATTATTTAACGTGCTATGCTAAATACAAACATCAGTGCATTATTTAACGTGACATGTTGTTTTCTATCATGCCGGTTTTCTATCATGCCTTCTACTTCATATGTACTTCTCATTTATGAATTACTTTACATTTGACATGCGCGATTAACAAATGTGTACAGTACATCAGTACATTATTTAACGTGCTATGCTAAATACAAACATCAGTACATTATTTATCTATTTTATTTTTTATATATATATTTATTTATGTTCTCAGTACGAAGCCGCCCTTGAGCTGTGCGTGGAGCACGGCGTGTGGGTGACGGAGGAGCTCGCTGAGCGCTTCACGCTGCCCCGGGACGAGGGCGCCCGTAACGCCATCCTGGAGAAGGTGGCGCAGTGTGCCTACCTGCAGGAGAACTACAAGCTTGCCACCAAGAAGTTCACGCAGGCGGGCAATAAGGTTAGGCCTTGAGGGCGCCACGGCAATAAGGTTAGGCCTTGAGGGCGCCACGGCAATAAGGTGAGTCCTTGAGGGCGCCACGGCAATAAGGTTAGTCCTTGAGGGCGCCACGGCAATAAGGTTAGTCCTTGAGGGCGCCACGGCAATAAGGTTAGTCCTTGAGGGCGCCACGGCAATAAGGTTAGGCCTTGTCTCTTATACACATCTAGATGTGTATAAGAGACATGGCGTGTAGTGTGTGGCTAAGGTGACTAGTGGCACTAGTGACGTGTAGTGTGTGGCTAAGGTGACTAGTGGCACTAGTGACGTGTAGTGTGTGGCTAAGGTGACTAGTGGCACTAGTGACGTGTAGTGTGTGGCTAAGGTGACTAGTGGCACTAGTGACGTGTAGTGTGTGGCTAAGGTGACTAGTGGCACTAGTGACGTGTAGTGTGTGGCTAAGGTGACTAGTGGCACTAGTGACGTGTAGTGTGTGGCTAAGGTGACTAGTGGCACTAGTGACGTGTAGTGTGTGGCTAAGGTGACTAGTGGCACTAGTGACGTGTAGTGTGTGGCTAAGGTGACTAGTGGCACTAGTGACGTGTAGTGTGTGGCTAAGGTGACTAGTGGCACTAGTGACGTGTAGTGTGTGGCTAAGGTGACTAGTGGCACTAGTGACGTGTAGTGTGTGGCTAAGGTGACTAGTGGCACTAGTGACGTGTAGTGTGTGGCTAAGGTGACTAGTGGCACTAGTGACGTGTAGTGTGTGGCTAAGGTGACTAGTGGCACTAGTGACGTGTAGTGTGTGGCTAAGGTGACTAGTGGCACTAGTGACGTGTAGTGTGTGGCTAAGGTGACTAGTGGCACTAGTGACGTGTAGTGTGTGGCTAAGGTGACTAGTGGCACTAGTGACGTGTAGTGTGTGGCTAAGGTGACTAGTGGCACTAGTGACGTGTAGTGTGTGGCTAAGGTGACTAGTGGCACTAGTGACGTGTAGTGTGTGGCTAAGGNGCGCAGCAGAATTGTAGCAGTGAGTTGCGAGTTCGAGACCGCAAAATGTTGTGAATGTTCTGCGATGTTAAGAATCGGCGACAGGCCTACGGCCTAATAAACGCTGAAACCGCTATTATTATTATTATTGAGGAATTCACCAATAGCTTTCCCCTATTCTGCAACGACACTCTGACATTTATGCATGCACATTCAGTTCTCTCCTGGGAGAAATGCCATAAAGATACGTGTTCAAGTTTGCATAGCTCTAAGTTGTTTTCGTATCTGATTACTTCGTTTCATAATTAAAAACGCAACAAGAACTTGTTGGATTACGAAACTTTTTTACAGAAGAAATTGGATACTATTGAACGGAGTAAAAAGATAGACGGAGCGAGTTTTCAGTGACGTTTTCGATTAAGTTTTGTAAGTTTTCCCGTATTAAATAATTTTAGTTATTCCTGAGATTCAACTAGCATGAGCACACGTTTGAAATCGAGAAAGGCTACTTACTACCCGCGTTACTTTAACAAGTCGATTGAGTCGTGTGAGCAGGTGGAGATAGACGAGTACCAGCAGTATGAGAAGGCTGGTGCAGCGCTCATGGAGGCGCACAAAACTCTTGTCAATGCAGTGAATCAAGGCAACGCTGAGGCACGCGACAAAATGAACGCTGTGCAGCAGAAACTCGAGAAGGTGCGACACTTCATTCAACTTAGAAGGTCAGTACGCATGCTGGATATAGTATAGTATAGTAGTATAGTATCTTCGGCATTAAATAAATAGGCCTGGATAGGCCTGTCGATATGATCTTGATTTATTGTTGGATTAGTTCATCACACTACGACGGCAAGACCGACTAATGTTTTCCAAATGTTCATTGAATATGAATTGATACTTTGAGTGTTCGGTGACTACGACTTTGAATTTAGAATAGAATAGAAGTGTCGGCATTGAAGAAATAGGCCCATGGCCTATTTAATTTAATTTAAACATGGTCATCTTGATTAACAATACTTGATTCGAAAATTATCTCGATGGAATAAGGACGAGAACAATAATTATTAAAGTTTTCACTTGTTTTGTTTTTGTGATCAGTTTACTTGAGGACGACGCGGACTCAGCTATACAAGGCCTGTATGAATTACTCGAGGACGACGAGAATAATAATTACTATTAAATACTATTGAAGTTTTCACTCGTTTTGTTTTTGTGATCAGTTTACTTGAGGGCGACGCGGACTCGGCAATACAAGGCCTGTATGAATTACTCGAGGACGCGGACATTGAGTTAGCGGTGAGGCGAGGCGACATCTTCGCAGCCATCGTAGAGCACTACGCCGCCAAGAAGAACTTCAAGAGCGCCCTAGGAACGCTGCAGGAGATGAAGAACAGACTTCCCAAGGTAGTTCCAAGCTTGGTATTTCTGAACAGTGACCAGTGCGCCACTCTTGCTTCCATTCGAGTCCCGAGCGGTTATTTGAAGAATAGCTACTTTATTAGCATGCTAGTGCAGAATTTAAAGGTCGAGACGAAGTTTGTAAGAGTGTTGTCGAGGCAAACATATCTCTGAGTTTCAACTTAACGATACTAAACTTGAAATGACACCAAACCCTGCCTCATATATAAGCTTTACTATTCAGTAAAACCATCAAATTTTATTAGAAAGCGGCTCATAATTCCATGAAATCAATACCTACGTTTCGAAATGTAAAGTACCAGGTATAAATTATAAATTTATGCTACATGTATCGTGTGTTGCAGGTGAACCCGTCGTATTTCGTCTCGGACGAAGCACTGCGGGCCATCGCAGCGGCGACAGGCGCGAGCTTCTCGCCTGCCGCGCGCAGGGGCGAGAGAGGCGAGGTCGCCACAGACGACGACGATGAAGACGAGGAGGTTGTGGAGGAGGAGGAGGACGAAGAAGAAAAACCTACTTTCAAAAATCGCTTTATGAATGGCACTGCTAAATTTCTCTAGTAAACGCATCCGCATTTATTTAATGAGATAACATCACAAGATGAATTTTATCGTGAAAATTGTAAAAATAGTTACACTTTTTTGTTATTTGTAATCCACGTTGTTCTAGTCAGTATCAGTAATGATGCAAGTCACTTCAGTTCCTACTTTTTTGCTGCGTCGTATTAGACGCTTTATTGAAGATGTCTCTAATATTAATAAATATCTTATTTATTTATCTTATTTAGTATTCTTATAGTATGTAATCTAGTATTCTTATTATTTATGTAACTTAAGAAACATTTATCTCACTAGAGAGGCAATGCGATCAATGACAGCAGTGAAGCAAAACATGTAATTTTCTTATTAAATGCCTTATTCAAAGCGCCTAGCAATCATCTCCAATTCTAGCGGGAAGAGATAAACGTTATGCGCCTATACGTATAGTACATTGCAACCGTCCAAAATGAATTAATTTTTGTAAAGTTTATAACAAAACACTAAACTGAAAACTTTCCTTCAAAGCCGCCCATCTTAATAATCGATCAGTTCAAGATTGAGTTGTGCATTCGCGAATTTTTTCGAAGTTAATGTTTAGTCTGATAACAATGTTCGTTTCACTCTTAACATGGCATCAACGGTCTTGCAAAATCATTAATTTTTTTAACAAGTTAGTTTTTCGAAATCTTAGAACGTTTCTATTGCACTTAATAATTACTTATGGTATTTATTCTACACATGTTGGGTCCAAAGTTCTTGAAAGAAGAAATTTTAACACAATAATAAATATAACGTACAAAAGCCTTTTATTTCACTTCAATCTACCAAATTGACAGCTGTGCGAATCGCAGTGCAGGAGCGTGAAAATATTTCCTTTATTTTTGGGCATTTATTAGTGTTCAATTATTCCACCATTCTGTAAATATTCTTTAAATTCTATTGTCAATCTCATTGGACAAAATATGAAAATTGATACCTAGTTAAATTAAGCCTACGTTTACAAAATCAAAAAAGTTTATTTAAATTTGCATTAATGTGTGTACCAGCGCTTCCCTGCTACCTCAGGAAATTAGAAAATAGAAAGAAAATAAAGCAGTACAAAATAAATACAAATAAGTATTTACAAATAAGTACAAAAATAAAGCAGTTAGAAATAGAAAATAAAGCAGTACAAAAATGAACCTAAACTTGTAATCCTTTTAAGCGAAAAATTGTTACTCAACATGCTATTCACTCCAGCATTTTTCATGCATTAACATTTAGCAAACAACACAGAATAGATGCAATTAGGCCTATAAACACAACACTCAAGGAGGTCAAATGTACAATTTCAGAAAGTCAAATGAGAATATAAAATTGATAGTTAAGAAAGATAGTTAAGATAGATAGTTAAGATAGATAGATAGTTAAGAAAATGATAGTTAAGATAGATAGATAGTTAAGAAAATGATAGTTAAGATAGATAGATAGTTAAGAAAATGATAGTTAAGATAGATAGATAGTTAATAAAATGATGGTTAAGATAGATAGATAGATAGATAGTTAGTTATAGCGAGTTAATGTTATAGTGAGTGAGTTAAAGATGATAGTTAAGATAGATAGATAGTTAAGAAAATGACCACGAGAAGTAAATAAAGCTTGAGAAGGTTTTATTAGAACAAAATTGCTTCTTTAAATGATATTGCAATTAAGAATTTCATCGCACATGGCAGATGTTTCTGCACAAAATTGTGCGTACAAAAACAAGCAAAATAAATCATAACTTGAACATTTTAAATAATCCACTCTCAAACTAAATAAAAATTTTTACTTCCATCATAAAATAATTATTAAAACCGTATTATTCGGTATTAAAAATTATATTCCTATACATTATATTTAAATGTATTATATTGTTATTAAAATCGTATTATTCACTATTAAAAATTATATACCTATACATTATATTTAAATGTATTATATTGTGCACCAATACTAAATATATAAATTGTACATAAAAAGAAAGCATGAACATGTACAGCAAATATGACTCATAAAAGGAAGATAAATATGAAGATAAAGCTAGACGTCCATGACGACCTCCGTCTTGATGCCTTCCTCCACGAACTGTAAAAAAAATATACAAATGAGATGCACGTCGTGAATACATTTCTTCCTTCACACAACTCGTACAAACACAAGATAAACGCCATGGTAGACTATGGGTAGGAGCAGTAGACTATGGGTAGGAGCGGTAGACTATGGGTAGGAGCAGTAGGTAGACTATGGGTAGGAGGAGTTTAGAGTCAGTGACAGCATTGCTCCAATTCCTTAACAAATTCATTCAATCGAACAAAAAACACGAAGTATTTACTCTAAAGCTCAAGTCTGTCAATACTGGTACAAGTGAGCAACATTGACTAATGTCGTATATTGTAATGGAAAAAAGCATGAGAGCTCCGCATTTTTTACATCATTCATTAGGAACAGTTAATAAACATGTTTAAATTTAATACTCGTAAATATACCAGCTATTTATAGCACAAGCAAATTTTTTTTAGCACAATTGTACAAGGCATTTAAGATGAGATAACTACAAGATAATATACGGTAGATAGAATTGTTTGAATTTGTAGTCTGAATTTGCCACATAGGTACCTACTTCATCAAGCAGTGGTAGCCTATTGAGTTGTTCAAATGTTTGAATAATTCTATTTTTCTTCATATATAATTTTTCACTTAAAACGCCTGGTTTAATAGGTACTCATGACTAGCCTATAGAGAGTGTGAGTCGTGCAGGACAGGAGACAGGAGGCTGGTGGTGACCTCCTGGTCAGACAGCAGCGCGTCTGAGGCCAGCAGCAGGATGGGCTGCTCAGCGACCCCGGCACCATCGTCTCCTGCATCCTGGCGGCAACCAAACCAACAAAACTTTGATTATTTCTTAGTCTACTTTATAGAACTACGCGTAAGTATACTAATATTACGCCTAAGGTACACAACTGTGTAAAATATTACGTCTACATTACACAACTGTGTAAAATATTACGTCTACATTACACACCTGTGTAAAATATTACGTCTACATTACACAACTGTGTAAAATATTACGTCTACATTACACAACTGTGTAAAATATTATGTTTACATTACAGAACTGTGTAAAATATTACGTCTACATTACACAACTGTGTAAAATATTATGTTTACATTACACAACTGTGTAAAATATTAAGTCTACATTACACAACTGTGTAAAATATTACATCTACATTACAGAAGTATGCATAATATTACGTCTACCAAACACAGCTATGCATCATATGAATAGGTACCATAAATGTGATCAAACTTCACTAGAGCGTAAGAGTTTATAAGAAATGCTATACAGATATCTGAAGCAATGGTTGGTAGAAAAATGAATATTAAAAATCTTAATACAAACAGGTGAGAAGATGGTTTTGAACTGAACAGCTTTCATTAGGTACATATTACACAATACGAAATATAGCTACACTAATTTCAACTCAGATGCATAGAGCCAAGACATTTAAATAGGTACCTACTCTTGAAGTAAGAGGATTAGACTATGAGTAGAACTGTAGAAGCATAAGTCTATGAGTAGGAGTAGGCCTCTATATCTATAATACCTATATAAATACAGCACTTCATAATTAATCAGAGAAGAGTGAATGACATGATATATTTTCATGACATCACTAGCTAATAATAAGACTTAGTATTACATAACAATACTCACAGGCCAATACTCAACGGCTTCAAGAAAAAATCTTTGCTCTTGGGGCGCAGGTTCTCCAGGTGTAATTTCAGTTACTATTTCAGAATTAGAATTTTTACTGATAGTTATATTTTTTATATCACAAGCATTGTTATTATTTTTCCCACATTGAACACAAGTACCACAATTATTGCAGGATTGGATATGATGAACGCTTCGCAAGTGATGGCGTAGAGTGCACACTTGTCTATATTGTCGCAAACACAAATGACATGTAAATTTTCTCTGATCTTCATGCACTACACGATGCTTGAACAGAGAAGAGTATTCAGTGAATCTTTTGCCACAGTCAGGAACTGAACAAACATAAGGTTTTTCTCCCCTATGTATCCTCATGTGGTTCTTAAAATTAGTATCAGATGAGAATTTCTTGCCACAGTTGGGCTCAGTACAGGCATAAGGACGCTCGCCCGTGTGTGTTCTCATGTGTACTTTTAAATTATTGCATGTGCTGAAACCACGACCACACACATCACATACAAAAGGGCGTTCACCTGTGTGAGATCTAAAATGCTTGGCCAAGTCTCCACTCATCTTGAACTTCTTGCAGCAACCCTCAGCAGAACAATGGTAGGGAGTTTCCTTTGTATGGGTTCTCATATGGCAACCTAGAGAATAATTGCTACTAAATGCCTTAGCACAAATTTCACACTTGAATGAACGAAAGATAGTACTTTTTTTCTGGTCCTTTACAAGGCAAGCAGACATGCCACTTTTAGACTTCTTTTCAAGGCTTGCCTTCACAGGTATGATTCCTGAAGTGCCACTGCAACCTGCACATGATAAGAGGGGGTAAACATCCAATTTTGTTCAGCTAAAAACAAAAGCTGTGCTAGAGAAACTGTCATTCTAATTAGATCTTAAAAATAAAAAAGAAGCAATGTACTCATTAATACAATGCTAAAATGAATGCATACATTTATGAAATATAGTGAGAATATTTTAAACAGTGCAAACTAGGTTTAGTATTGAGTGCATATCAATTAATTAAAATTAGTTGGCATTGAATTAGTTGAACATCAATAAATCATCTTCTCCAAATCATCCAGTCATAGAACAGCCATTCAGCAATACAGTGTATTAAAAAATTAAAATAGGAAAGAAGCCTGTGGCAAAAATAACCTGTCATCTCATCCACATTTTCTGAGGTGCGAAGCATTTCAAGTGTAACGGAGTCTCCAGCTTCTGTGATGACATAAACTTCATCTTTTCTGAGCTGCTCCTCAGTTAGAAATATGAGATGTTCATCTTGACACTGGGAAGCATTAGTGTGAAGTGAAGCAGGAAGAATTATAGAGCTGCTACTACCAGATGTATCACAACTTTCTGATATGAACTCGGTGTGCTCTACTGCACCTTCAGAAATAAACCAGCACTGCTCATTATTAGTCAGGAACTTTGCCTGGTATAAGTCTTCTCTTCTCTCATTCACTTTGGCAGGATATGGCATTTTTACATAAACTGCTTTTTTGGAGCTAAGAAGCTTGCCATTTTCATCCAGACATAAAATGGTAGATTCAGGAACATCCTGCAAAAGATAAACATGTAAATTGATTGCACCATTATTGATGAGTAGTGGCCTATGTTACTATTAAAAATCCATCAGAGGAAAAAGTGAAAGTAACTAAAATTTATAACCAATAATAATTCATTTCAAAAGTAATGAGAAGCATCATGCTTACGTACTGCTGGAGATGTAGTATCATCTTTGAATGGAATAGACCCCGCCAGTTGTTGATCTTCTGATTCTGGGGCCATACTTTCAAAACTTGCTAAGTGAACGTAAGTACTTACGCACTATTTTCTTGTCTATGATTGGTGGATTTTGCTTGAAAGGCCATCAATGATTGGCTGATGAACTTATGATCTCTTAACTTTTTTTTTAAAGTTTGGGCACTGTACAGGAATCAGTTTTGCCACCACCTTTCATGACTAAAGTCTGTTGACTGGAAAATATAATAGCAAACATTCAATAATTATAGAGTTGACTTGAACAAAGTGATCAAAATTCTTAAAATAAATCATTAAAATTTTAAATTCTTTCTGCATTACACTTTGCTTTCAACATAGAAGAATGTACTCACTGTCTACTCATATGACTTTATCTGACTCTTCATTTTCAGTTTCAAGGTCAAACTGAACATAATTGCACATTTCTATTTTCACATTTTGCATTTTCTAAAATTCACAAAAAATATGCCACTTAAGAAATAAAAAAAATTAAAAATCACCATACATATACATAGCAATGTTATACAAAAAATGAGTTTACAACAATTTTTATCACTGTCAAAGTTGGTCCAAAAATTGACACTAAAATATGCCATCTTGTACTCCAATCTGCAGATATACATTTACTTGTTTGAAGATGAAGAACTCTACATATTGAGGTCAACCAATTTAAATGGTAAAAATGATTTCAAGGTGCTTTCAGACATTTTGTGAGCAGTAGACTGTGGCAACATAGCGGCACTGGCTTTACCCAACAAGTCGGCCACAGTTGAAAAGATGGACCATGTCACTTTATTGCAACAACAATGTATCATTTGGCTTGCATGGCACACTGCTGTGATGGTTTGAGTCATATCCAAGCAATAGATTCCAATGTATCTGACACAGGCACTCTTTTTCTACGCCAATGGTTCCTAAACTTTTGCATGCTGGCGCCCCCTTGGCTCACCAGTGCATTCCTAGCACCCCCACAGACACATAATTTTCACACACAGACACATACAGCCCTCCAAACAGACACAAAAAAAAACAGATTTTGAATATTTCTAAAAATTTACATTAGAAAGCCAAGGAGAGGTTAAAAAAAATCTTGGTGGAAAACCATTGATGGCAGCTATGTACTGCATGTTTTGTGTACAAATTATCAAACAAACGTTCAAACTTCTGGCTTTGGACTGCCGCCCCCCTACCGCCTTTTTCTTCCTCACCACCCCCTAGATCCTTCCACTGCCCCCAGGGGGGCAGTACCACCCCCTTTGGGAAACACTGTTCTACGCCATCATTGATCAATTACAGCATACCACTGGGGTTAGTCCTCAGCCCTATCCTCTTCTTGTAATATACTGTTGACGTACTGCACATAATTGATTCAAATAGTTTGAATCCACAAATATTTGCTAACTACACCCAAATTTACGACTTTAGTGCACCAGCTGATGCTGCAGCATTGCAGGACCGGATGTCTCTCAGCACAGATGCCAGCCAGCTCAATGCATCAAAAACCAACTTTATTTGGTTCCTGACTGCTCAGCACTGTTGCCAGGAGACTTTTGTGGCTTGTGTAGCACAGCCTATTTGTGCTTATTTATCCTTGTTATTTGCCTTCAGCCTTGCCTTTACCTCACCTCAATGTCTTTGTCCTCTTCTGTTTCAGTCTCTGTTACAGATATTCATTAACTATAAAGCTGAGCCCAATGAATGACACTCAGTTGTGTAACAGAGCGGTCTGACAGTCCAGACCACTCATCCATAGCCATGCTGGTAAGTGAATGTTCACCTGTGTATATATAGTATGTAACTTGTCCGCATTTTAATCAACTTTTGTTTCTTGTAAATAAGGCATTGGTTCTTGATTTATTATGATTCTTTGATTCATTGCATTCACTACTGCATGTTTTCATGATTCCTATTTTAAACAAATAGTCAACTATACTTACTTAAAAGTATGTCATTGCATTCTTCAATAGTGTTCACCTTGCAAACCCTTTTGGTTTTACTTAACTTGCTTTGATTCCATTTAATTATGACTATATCCCTTGCTTGCTTTGTTAAGGTCAACTGATAAGTCCCTTGCCTTTACTTTACCCTGCAATGCTTGATTACAAATTAATCCTTTCAACCACAGCTTCTCAAGTTATACATCGTTTGCTATTTTGTTAATCTCATTTATTTTTACAGCTGGCACAGTAATGTTAAGTACACTTTAACCCAGCCTGTGCTCTTCCCTTAATTAGTTATTTTTTTCACCTACCACAAATCTTAATTTTCAGTCATTTTGAAAATATACCGTATGCAGATCTTGTTAATTTGACACTGTTTCTAAATAAAATTTAAAACCTTAGAGCTTTCAAACCTTAAATTTAGACTAGCATTAGTGCTTCCACAATATTCATTCATTCTTGTTGTTGGGGCTCCTCCCGCTATAAGAGGGGATACATTGTAACTCGCGGTGTGCTGAGACTCACACGAGAACAGCACCAGCATCAGCTTTGGGCCAAGTCTAACCTTGTTCACATGGGCAACAAGTTTGACATGCCTGTATCTTTGGTGTGCAACCTCAGCATTTATCTTGACTTGGACTTTTCTATGAACAATCACATTGCCAAAGCCCCCACCGCTTGTTTTGGCACTGCAAGGAATTTGTAGCGTCAGCTGCTGTCTCTCAAGGCTGATCCTTGAGGCCCTTGTGGAGGTGCCTGTTCTGACCAGATTGGACTAAGGCAATGCTACACTCTATGGCCTTCCAACCAGGGCATTTGATGAACTGCAATCCATAATGATTGCTGCTATGCAACTCGTGTATAATAAACAAAATTTTTATAACATCATGCCAATACTTGCACAATCTTTACTGGCTGCATTTGCAGCAGAACAGGCAGTTCAAGGTTGCTGTTCTAACATTCCAATACCTCCACGGTCTTGCGCCTCCTTATCTCACAAATGTTGCCAGCACATGTCAGATCGATCTTCCAGAAGGTGACTGCATTTGTCATCAACAACAGGCCTTGTCGTACCATTGTCTATCTACAGTTGGCAACAGAGCATTCCGGTTGCAGTGGCAAGAATCTGAAGCAGTCTGCTAACTTCTGGCTCCTTTGTGTCTGTATTTTGTCCATGCCTAATAATAGAACTATTTTGTAGTGCCTATGAATCGTCTGCTTAGTCATTTTTATCCATTCTCATTGGATGTCGACGCATTGCTCTCGTCAGTTGAGGCGGTACCTGCAATCTGGGATGCCTCTCACCCACAGCACAGTGATGGGACAAACATCAGCATCCACTGGTCTATGATAGCTGATGCACTCAATATTTCAGCTAATAACAGTAATAATACATTCTTTTATTAAACAATGAGAATAGAAGTTAACGAACTTAGCACTCAGAGCACTAGGATATTCTTATTGTTTATTTAGAGCATATGATACTGCCAAGCAACATTTCCTGCATCTGATACGAAATAATTTGTGAATTTTTCCCGAACATCTGTTGCAATTCTACAGCTGTTTCTAAGAACAGGAGCAATTACAGTTTCAGGTTGATCATTCGATGCATTCAATGCCATTGATATGCCGTGTCTTTATCAAATTTTTATCTAACAAGTAACAAGAATCACGTTGCGCAAAACCGTAATTGCTTTAGTTATTTCTGCAGCATTATCCATGCTGGTCTTGATCGAGTTCGTTAAAAATCTGAATTTTGAAGTCATAATGCCAAAGGTGCCTTCTACACAACGCCGAGCTCTTGATAGTCTGTAGTTATATATTTACTTGCTTCCATCTATGTTTTGGCGGGGGCATGGTCTCATAAAGTTAGGAAGCAATGGGTAAGCTGCATCACCTTGCTACACAAGTGGCGTTTCATTATGACTCATATATAACCTCATGCATCATATAAGATATACATCATATATAACCTCATCTGAACGGATTCAAAAAAAGACAAAATAAGGTATATATGGGATTTTTAAATTTATCTTTTATTTCTCTATAAAACTTTCATCAATGAGAACGGATGTTAGTCTCTCGCAGACACTCATTTCTACACACTGACTCGCAGTAAGCTGAGCGGTTCAGCGTCTAGTTTGGACACCATACGTGCGGCGCGGCCCCGCTCTGCTTGAAGCGTCAGCCAGCGTACGCGTGAACGCTTTTAGTCTGGCCGTAGCCTTAGAGCTTTCAAACCTTAAATTTAGACTAGCATTAGTGCTTCCACAATATTAATTCATTCTTGTTGTTGGGGCTCCTCCCGCTATAAGAGGGGATAAATTGTAACTCGCGGTGCACTGAGACTCACACGATAACAGCACCAGCATCAACTTTGGGCCAAGTCTAACCCTGTTTACATGGGCAACAAGTTTGACATGCCTGTGTCTTTGGTGTGCAACCTCAGCATTTATCTGGACTTGGACTTTTCTATGAAAAATCACATTGCCAAAGCCCCCACCGCTTGTTTTGGCACTGCAAGGAATTTGTAGCGTCAGCTGCTGTCTCTCAAGGCCGATCCTTGAGGCCCTTGTGGAGGTGCCTGTTCTGACCAGATTGGACTAAAGCAATGCTACACTCTATGGCCTCCCAACCAGGGCACTTGATAAACTGCAATCCGTAATGATCGCTGCTATGCAACTTGTGTATAATAAACAAAATTTTTATAACATCATACCAATATTTGCATAATCTTTACTGACTGTGTTTGCAGCAGCACAGGCAGTTCAAGGTTGCTGTTCTACTACAATGCATCAAAACCTGGAGTTATTTTACCAAAAAATAAAAAAAATTGGAGGGGGTACTCTGACAGGCTTCAAATAATAGCTCTTTCGTGGGGTCACATTTTTAATTTTTTAACCTATTAGATATGCAAACTTTTTAAATCTTTCTATTGTGTTACGTAGCCTCAGTATTAGGCCTTTGACAACATTTTTCTATGTCAAATAGTTTTTGAGTTTTGGGGGTTTTTGTTAAAAAAAAAAGTGGTCAAAGTTACCCTGGGAGTCAAAGTAACCCCATTTTACGGTATATAGGGACTGTCAAACAGGGTTGGCAATCATTAAATCAAACTGATTAAATCATT